GACTCCCCACTGTTAAATGGGGAGTGTTATGTCATAACACTCCCCACTTAACAAAACTGTGATCCTTGGGAATAGTAGAACAGGTAGGTATGCTATCTAGCAGAGAAAAATAAGTTGGAAACTTTTTCCTCAGACTTTCTTTAGATATGATCTTCTTTGTTTGCACATTCTTAACATTTTGTACTAAGCTTGCCAGCAACTTTCTGTTAGTAGGTTTCAGATTTTTTTTCAACTGTTTTTTCCTATTTTCTCCTTAAGAATCAGAGACTGCAGGGTTCTGCTGATTGGTGGCAAAAATAGAGGTTCATTCTGTCCTGCGCCTTATCTGGATGAATATGGAGAAACCGATCCAAATCTGATGTAAGTTACTGTTTTCTTTTTATTTTGTAAGAAGCTGTATCATCAGTGGATGCTAGTGTTTCTTCATTCTTTTATTTATTCCTACTGTGCAGGGATGGGTTCCGGCAGGCAATACTGCCGGTGTGCTTGTGTGCGTGTGTGCTTGATGCGCTTTCTTGATGCGCTTTCTTGATGCGTGCTTGATGCGCATGCACAATGCAATTAAAATTGTTCTGTGCATGTGCAGAATTGAAAAACAAGATGGCAGTGCATATGAAGCCGCCCAGGGAACCGGTTCAGGGGTGTGGCAGGAGGCCTAGGTCACTGCTGGTTCCAGTGACTCAGTTTGCCAAACTACTTCTGGTTCAGCCAAACCAGTCCAAACCAATAGGAGCCCACCACTGCTACTGTGACATAAAAGTGCCGGTAACATGTCCCTTAATTTCCTGAGACTGGTTTGCTAGTGAAAATTTGAGGTTAGATTTGTGCCTGATGTTATTGCTTCTAAATATTTTTCTGTGAATTAACTAAAACTACCCAGTAGTAAGAACCCTTTAGCAGTGGAACCAATTACCCAGCAAGTTGGTGGGTTCTCCTGGGCCTAAGGAACTGATCAACTGCATCTGTTGGAGATTTTTAACTGGTTGAATTAATTGGCCTGAATGGGCCTTTCCAAATGTATAATCCTTTCATGCTGGGAGATGTATCTGAGCAGATAAAATAAAATGCTGCTAAATATTATTTTTTAAACCCCAATAATTGTATTTTTATTTCTCTTTGAAGAAGAGGCAATCCTCTGCGCCTGTCTCATGAACGATACCGGAAGCTTCACTTGTTGTGGCGACAACATTGCATCATAGAAGAGATTGCTCGAAGCCAGGAAACTAATCATGTCTTTTTGGGATTTAATTGGCACCTGCTCTGAGTGTCAAGCTCTTTGAGACTAAATTGTCAACACCTCACTTCTAAAACATCACACAAAGAATATGAAGAATTTTAGTTTAAGGAAAAACGACTAACCCACATCTGCTTACGGAAACCTGTGGGCTTGAATTTGGTCAGAAAAAACAATGCATGCATATAACTTCCCAAATATGAATGCTGAATGATCGAAAGCAGAACTGCCTGGATCATCAGTAAGCTGACCTTTTCCACTTGTTTTCCAAATTAAAAACAGTCAACAGTATTTTCATTCTTTTGCAGCAGCAGTTCTAAACACATACATAGTTTCAGTGCATCTGGATAGAAGAACAAAGGGATTTAATCTCCTCTTATCACATTAGTTGCTTTTGTTTCCTCTTTTAGTATAGCAGGTCTCAAAATAAATCTAATCTGTAACTGACTTTGCCCGTGACTTATCTTTGGGTGCAGCATTATAACAACCTGAAGGTGAAGCACTACACAAAGTATAACAGCAAGGTATGCTGTAAAGGAAGTTAATATTTATTGGGAATCCTTTCAGAATGAGAATGCAGGTTAATTTGTTAATTCTGAGAGGTTCCAGTTAGCTTTAACGTATATCAAAAATTAAATGCTTTGCTTTTGGCCTATCCCAAAATGGGAAGGAACTGCACTGCAGAAAAACAGGAATGGAAAAAAAAATCCATTTCTTATTGCAAGTAGTCTTTATTTGCATTGGCCAACAAATTTCAGACTAAATTAGTTTTTAAGAGGGATTAAAAATCTATATTATACATTATAATTGAACACAAATAACGAATACATTATTCAGAAGGTACGATCATAGTCTCATATCTACCACATATAGTCTAATAACATTTTATACTGTATACAACAAACATAACAATATTTCAAATAATTATATTTGTAAAATAGTAAGGTTATTCATAAAATAATTCATAAAACAAAATCCATGCTAAAAGGAATCCTTAATATATGTACCAAATGTTATATTGTAATGTAAATTTAAACATTACCTACTTTCTTCTTTTAAAAAAATACAATAAAAAATAAATAAAGACCTTTTTTTCTGTTTGTGTCTGTAATACAAACTCATTTTTTTCTCACTGCCAGTTAAAAAGATGCCTACTGTCGACTTTCTGGCTAATGTTAATCTAAGTAATAAAAACATTAAATTAGTTCAGAGGAACTTAAGGAATAGAAAAAGAGAGAGGAATATCTCTATAAGGCCACCTAACTCAATATGGACTCTGGCTGGCATACAAATTTTGGATGGGACATGAAGTCTGCCTGTTCTGTAGGAACTTGCAGAATGGAAGAGAAACTGCTCTTTAAAGAAGAAAGAGCGAAGAAAAGGCAGAGACCACATCAAGGCCTCAGTTTTGACATATCTTCTCTGCCTCAGAGCTTGCCATGGCCCATTAACTATGACTTCCATGTTCCAAGAGCAGCCCAGATTTTAGAAATTTCTTCAGTAAATTCCTACTCATTTCTCATTCTCATTCAAGTTTATTTCCCAAGGGCCTGACAGAACACACACGGCAGAGACATAGTTCAAATGACAGTATTTTCATTGCAGTTCACACATGGGGCTGTGAAATATTGGAAAAAAGCACAGTGAGGCAAATCAACACATGTAAATCAGATGCTGGATTTTGCATGTGCTGAAAGCTAAGTTTTCAATGGCCAAGTGATCCTCTTGGTTCAGGGATTTTAACTCACATTTACTTTTTTTCTCATTTTTTAATAATATGGCCCTTGAATGTAATGGATAATTTCCATGCATAACAAGATTAAAAAGTAGTATTCTTATAATTGCATCCCACATATAGAGAAAATGATACTAGAAATTTTCATTGAATTATTTCTGTTAACAAAGCAGATGCTGTTGCATCTTTCATACTTGTCTTACTAATGTCATCAGTGACTTTTGATTAATAATTGGAATAAGAATTGCAACTTGAATCTGTTTTTGTTGAAACAGATTTGTCTTTCTGATCTCTAAAAAATAAATCTCTTGGCCTGATGACCCCTTTAGTGGAAAGCTAAGAATAGGGCTGAACTACATGCCCTTTTATTAACCACCAGGGTTTGTTTTTGTTTTAATATTTTTATCCTGACTTATCCCATATATAACTCAAAGCAGTGAGGATAAACACTTTAATTATACAAAGTATACTTACATAAATTTCTTATTAAGTATAGTTATTTGATTCTGAATATATTCTTAAACAAAATTCTCAAATGACTCAGCCCTATTTATACATTTTCCACAACTTGTAGGCAACAGATGGCCAAGGAGAAATTGGCAATTACAGATCTCCTCCTTCCCACCCCTGGATTAGATGCTCAAAGTAGTGCAAGTGATACAAAATAACCAACAGTAATTCATCTGATATGTTATTCTTTATACTTGGTATCCCAGATGTTCACTGATACTTAAAATTTACATAAGAAAAGTTACCATGTTTATAGATGTTATTTCAAACACTGCTCAAAATTGTTTTTTGTTAGACCTGTTTAATAATGATTGCTTTTCAAGAGTGGCAACCCCATCAACAATCACCATTCTCCTCACTGTTAAGATTATTCCCAGAGTGCCAAATGCTGCTTTGGGCTCTTCTTATTCTGTTATTGGTCCAACACCATCTCTTTAAGGATTGAGCATCAAAATGAGTTGCTAAGGTGGGGAGGAACAAAAGCAAGTAAGCAAACTAATATATTGTATGGCACAGCCAGGGCATAGCACATCACACAAACTGACTACCTCTTTCTGCTTTGATACGTTGGCAGCCATGTTTTTATACATTGTGATGCAGTTGCCACTTCTTTAGTATTATATTCAATTAAGCTGCAGGGATATATTTGGGGGTAGTATTTTCTGAATTGTGGTTTGCAGTGCAAACATCCATATTAGAATTATCCAAAGCTCTTGATACTTGGTTCCCTTTGCCAAGATGGTTAATTTTGGTGATGTTCCACATGACAATTTCCACAAAACTGTTTTCAAATAACCAGCCATCAGAGTCACAGAGTGGATCCACCTGTAGAAGAAGATTCCTCATTGATGTTTGAAGATAACGAACTCCAATGAGGACCAGTAGCTGAAAAAAAAGGAATTCAAATGAACGGAAAATTAGAGAGTTGAGATTCCACTAATTATAGTGGACTCTCCACACCACCACACAGAGTTTAAGACTTTGGTGATGATGATCACCATATGCTTGAATTTTTAATTTTCCCCCGTCTTTGATGTCGGACCAGTTAATTTATTTGATGTGAAAAGCTTTAGCTGGCACTTAAATTGGGCACTTTTGATTTTTAAAGTTTGACTTTTAAAAATTGCATGAAGCTAAGATGAAAAAAGCTTTGCTTTTTCAAGAAGGCAAACCTAAAGATTGAAGGGGAGGTTTTTCTCCACATGAAAACATGAAGAGTCTTAAGTCCTGCTTGCTAACCAGGAGGATTCAGGACAGGTTAACTATTCCTCTGATTCCAGTTTTCACCAGCTTGAATGGTATTGAAACCTGTAACATACCATTCTTTCCAGTGGTGAAATTGATTTTTTTTTACTACCGGTTCTGTGGGTGTGGCTTGGTGGGGGGTGGCAGTGGGAGGATATTACAAAATCTTCATTCCCACCCCACTCTGGGACCAGCCAGAGGTGGTATTTGCTGGTTCTCAGAACTACTCAAAATTTCCGGTACCGGTTCTCCAGAACCTGCTGAATTTCATCTCTATTCTTTCCTTCTGATTCATTCTGCTTGGCACTCTCTTGTTCTTCCTTTACACAAACCATTTCACTGATCAGTGGTTGTTGTTTAATTTCTGAGAAATGCTGTAATTCTCAACACATTTGGCTACAGCCTCCCAATGTCGCTAAAGAATATTTACTGAATATATGCACTAGATACCATTTAAGACATTCATGGCGCACCCTTAAAATCTCATTAGCAGAGGAGCTTGCCAAGACTGAGCTTATAGAGTGTATGAATATAACTTTGAATAAGTCTTTATATAAACATTAGCCATAGCCTTAGAAGGGAGGAGTGAGTGAGAAAGAAACTCAAGATTACCTCACCTTAATTCTGTTCATCATGCCAGGTAAGTGCAGGGCCATGTGGAGGCTCTGGGTGGGAGAAAAACAGGCCTCCCGGAAGTTCCGGAAGTCCAGAAATGGACTTGTTTCCGACCTCTGGAGGGCTTCCAGAGCCAAGGGGGAGGCCGGTTTTGGTCTCCCGGAGGCTTGAGAAAAGCCTCTAGACTCTGGTAGGGTGAAAATGCCCCCCCCCCCGTTGTGATGCAGGAGGCAGAGTAGGCTACACCCACCAGTGGTGGGTTCCAGCAGGGACTACTGCCAGTTTGTTCATGTGCGCTTTGCGCGCATGGACAGTGCTATAAAAATTGTTCTGGGCATGTGCAGAAGCAAAAAACAAGATGGCGCCACCCATGGTGCCACATGGATAACCAGTTGAGGGAGGGGTGGCAGGTCTGGGTCCCTGCCGGTTCCAGCGACCCAGGCTGCCAACCACTACCGGTTCGGCTGAACTGGTCCAAACCAGTAGGAACCCACCACTGACACCCACCATAGCCACGCCCACCCAGCATCCAGGCAGAGAACTGGTTGCTAACATTTTCCAATCCCACTCCTGAATTTAAAACTGATATACATGTACTCTCTTGTATTGGAATCACGTTTGGTAGTATCAGGCCTAAAAAGCTTTAGTAATCACAGTCTACCATTAAAGAAGATAATGGACTATATAGTTGCTATTGCTGTTAAAATGTAATTTCTTAAAATGTCCATTAATCTGCTTAATTTTCCCTCTACACTCTATGAAATAATTGATGATGGAAACTATAAAAAGGCATGTTTTTTAGTTTAGAGAAGAGTCCTTGAGAAGCTACTATAAAGAGAATATTTTCATTAAAAAATGTTTTCACTTGCCCCGTTCAATAGGTTCCAATGAATAAGAACTTTGTTATTTGGATTTCATAGTACATAATCAAAAACTGTTTCATATCATTTCTTATGCCTGGAACAGACCTGATATGTAAGCTTTCTTCCCAAGATGCCTGTTTGCTTTTGAAATAATTTAATTTAGAACTTGATCAGAGTCTCTTTATCATAAACATATATATTTGTGTAGAAAAGATGATTCAAACAATATCTTTAGTAGGATGGAGGAGGGGAGAAGAGTTCCTGCTTTTTCTTTTTCTTTTAATTGCAAATTACTCTTTGAGAAGATTGCATGCATTCAGCAATATTTTTAGTAGTATATCTCTTCTTCACCAATCATTCATCCCATAGTAAGCTGTCCCATCTTTTGTACCGTTTTGAAAGGAGGACTTCAGTAAATGCGGTTTTACCTCAAACACCCAAACGACAAACGTGGTGATGCCAATGGACCTCATGATGTCAGTATAATAATCCAGAAGGGCTTCCCTGCATCCTCTCATCCAGATATTAAGTTCTTCTGTCATAAAATCATAACGGTAGTGAGCAGTGTTGTTTCTGAGTTGGTACTGGATACAGGGCCGGGGGGAGTTAGGATTGCAACAACTGAAGGGAACTCCATCCACCAAGAATTTCCCATCAATATTACCTTTTAGGCGGCTGGAATAAGATGCGGGTGGGGAAGAGAGTTGTGTAAGAAAGGCTAATAATTCAAACAAGAGGATTAAAAGTTATTGGTTCACTGCATTTTGTTGGAAAGAAAAGTTCTAGTGTTCTCTGAATTAATCACTTAGATCTTGTATGAGTTCACTAAGCAATTCAAATCAACCTTCCCTGCAGACATGCATAAAGGCATGCTCTATTTTGTAGTGATGTCATTTTTTTGATAGTGGACTTGAACTCAAGTATATACCAGATGGTTATAATTTTGCCGAAGGTGATGGTTAGCAAAGCGGGAAATTATTTTCTCCTGATGTGGCAGAGGAACCAATTGCAAGCAACATTCAGGAAGAAAGAAGTGATTGATAAAAGAGGTAGATCTGAAATCAGGTGGATTGCCCACAAGTCTAACTCCTAGCAGATCACAAGGGACTGCTGTCAGGTGATACCTATGTTT